CCCCGCCCCGCCCCGCCCATCCAAGGAGGCCTGACCCACCCCCACCCTGGCACGGCCCCTGAGGAGGTGACCAGCGCAGGGTCTGCCCGGGCCCTCCCCTGCTGGCCTGGTCCTCCTCGGCCCAGCTGCGGGGCTGTGCTGTGGCCTTCCTGGGAGCAGGCGTGAGGGGAGCTTGCCCACCCCCATCACCCCCTGCGTGTCCCCTGACGAGGCAGCTCGTTGAGTGCCCAGGGAGGCCTGCCCGCCCAGCCCTGGTCAGAGGGCAGGTCCAGTTGCTTCGGTCGCATTCAGAAGGTGGCTCCCGGGGCACCAGCTCCCAGCACAGGGCCCGCGGCGGGGGCTGGGGGTCCCGGGGCTCCGGGCGGCGGGGCGCCGGGTCACAGGCCGCTGCCTGCAGGTGACCAACGAGATCATGCCGGTGCTGTCCTACTCCTACCTGGCAGTGCTGGTGCCCGTGTTCCTGCTGACCGACTACCTGCGCTACAAGCCGGTGCTGGTGCTGCAGGGCCTGAGCTACGTGGTGGCGTGGCTCCTGCTGCTGCTCGGCCACTCCGTGCTGGACATGCAGCTCATGGAGTTCTGCTACAGCGTGACCATGGCCGCGCGCATCGCCTACTCCTCCTACATCTTCTCGCTCGTGCGCCCCGAGCGCTACCAGCGCATGGCCGGCTACTCCCGGGCAGCGGTGCTGCTCGGCGTCTTCACCAGCTCCGTGCTGGGCCAGCTGCTGGTCAGCGTGGGCCGCGTGTCCTTCGCCACGCTCAACCACATCTCGCTGGCCTTCCTCGCCTTCAGCCTGGTGCTCGCGCTCTTCCTGAAGCGGCCGCGGCGCAGCCTCTTCTTCAACCGGCCCGAGCCCGCGCCCACCTCCGAGCTGGCCCCCATGCAGGGGGGCGCCCGGGGCTGGCGGGACTGGACGCTGCCGCGCATGCTGCGGGAGCTGGGGCTGGGCCTGCGGCGGCCGCAGCTGCGCCTCTGGTCGCTCTGGTGGGTCTTCAACTCGGCGGGCTACTACCTGGTCGTGTACTACGTGCACATCCTCTGGAGCCTCCTGCAGCCCATGCAGGACGCCGCCTCGGCCTACAACGGCCTGGCCGACGCCGCCTCCACGCTGCTGGGTGC